ATAGACTCCCTTCGCTCTTGACTTGGTGTGTCCATTGTTGACGTTTGTACACTATTTACCCTTTAATATTTTTGCTTACAACCTTGATAGTTGATATCAATGGTTTTGCCGTACGCGTGGCTGCTGGATACAGTTTGAGAAGTCAAGAGACGAAACAACACCAATTACCTCTCTCTCTGCATTGAACATCAAGCCGTGACCTCGACTAACCCTGCGTCACAAGTAGGATTATTTTACGCTCATGAGGAACCAAAGCAATAACTCACTTTTCCACTCCGAAACAGTGAGATTATCCATGTTTCTAAGTTCGTCCGTGAAGGGAACGGCCACTGGTTCATCAGATTCGTCATGGTAGGCTGCAAAGTAGGGATGTGCCAGCGCCTGTGCGGCCGTAAGTCTTCGGTCAGGGTCCAAAGTTAGAAGTTTTTCTAGGAGATCCAACGCTGAAATTGGCAGAGCAGAATAAGCGAACAGGTGGACAAATTAAGATGGCTCTTGAACGGGTTGGATAAGCGTAGCCACCTGAACTGTATTGCTTTATAATACCTACCTATTTTATCAAGATAGTTTCGTAGAATACACATTATCACACAGCCGTATTAGCACCTACTTCCATTACAGACTGTTCATCCTTCCTGCTTTTGCCCATACCTTCTATAACATTTGAGGTGGGCTTCAGAGTCTATGATGCATTGCCAAAGGCTCCAGAAAATGGTGCTTGTTCTTTCTTCAAGCAACCGGCTCGAACAGTTGTTTTCGCCGTTTATACATTGTTTGCGATGCGTTGTATTAAGGCAACCAGGCTGCCGCTTGATTGCACCAATTGAGAGATCACAGGAGTAAGATATTTCGTAAGCTGACGTGCGGACATGTCGGTGAGTGACGAATAAATTTAAATAGAATTGTCGGGTGCAATGGTAAACATACAATTTTTGTGCACTAACAGAACCTTCATTCCGCTACATTTCTCTGTAATTATTTTGTGATTTCGATTACGAGGGGGTTCAGATCGTTCGAGAGATAGTGATTAACAATTTACGATTTTCACTAGCTTCAGTTGATTGGCCACGAATAAGGATAATAGGCAAAGGTAGCTTATGTAGACCCACTCATATACCCCTAGTCACAGCATTCGTCCTGCAAAAACGGTGGTTTTAGAGTTTTAGGGGGTGGAGAAATAGGAT